TCCTCCCCCCTTACGTGGAGCTCCACCACCACCACCTCCTCCTCCTTTATGTGGAGCTCCACCACCACCACCTCCTCCTCCTTTACGTGGAGCTCCACCTCCACCACCACCTCCTCCTTTACGTGGAGCTCCACCGCCACCACCTCTTCCTCCTTTACGTGGAGCTCCACCTCCACCACCACCACCTCCCATACGCGGTGCTCCACCTCCCCCACCTCTTCCTACTCGTGGTGCTCCTCCTCCACCTCCACCTCCTACTCGTGGTACTCCACCTCCACCTCCTCCTGTACGTGGAGCTCCACCGCCACCACCTCCAATGCATGGAACACCACCTCCACCTCCACCCCCTGGAGCTCGAGCACCTCAGCTGCCTGCCCCACCTAGACCTCCAGGTGGTGCACCTCCACCTCCACCTCCACCTATTGGGACTAAAGGACCAAATGCTGTTGGTTCTCTTGTTGATACAAAAAGTTCAACTTCTGGGAGAGGCCGTGGGCTTAGTCGTTCTATTGGCCCTGGTTATCAGGGGTCACCTGCTTCAGCACCTCGGAGATCGTTATTGAAGCCACTGCACTGGGTTAAGGTAACAAGAGCGGTGCAAGGAAGCTTATGGGCCGAACTACAGAGATATGAAGAGCCTCAAATGTATTGTAATCATCTCTGGCCATATGGATTTGCAATTAGTCTTAGATCTCATGGATCATATTGGTTTTCATTTCTAGCACCATGGTTATGAAAGGTTCTCACAGGATTCTAGTACATTTATTGGATTTAGATGCATCCATGTATTTCAATACTATCAGATTGGTGTCATAACCAATTTTTCTAATTTTGTTTTATGGATACTGCATTTTAGTTTTAATGGTTTTCTTTTTCTTTTACCTTTTGGTTTTCATATTTAATATGGTGACCTTTGTATGTTAGTGCGTCAGAATTTGATGTGTCAGAACTTGAGAGCCTTTTCGCTGCCACGGTTCCAAATATGGTTGATGGCTCAGGGGGTAAATCTGGAAGACGCAAATCTCTTGGATCCAAACCAGATAAAGTTCACCTGGTAATTGATACAAGTTAGTGTTATGCATTTAAAACTTTTATAGCTCTAAATATTTCATATAGGGGCAATTTTGTTAATATATTTTGTGGATTTATAGCGCTAATCTTTTGTGCTCCATGATATATTTATTTTCCTAATCAATGAACTAAAAAAAGAAATACTTGTTAGAAAATGAATCTTCTAAATGTTTCAAGTATCCAGCAAATCTTGACGATCCAATCAAATTTTGCATTGATTGAGATTGGATTATTTTCATATCAAATGGGGTCCACATGAGTTGGAAATCAATTTCTTGGGCTTGCTGGGATGGACTCAATGTTGTAGGCCTCTGGAGCAACTCGCTCATTTCTTAGGTATTGCTGAATGCGTCAGGTTCATGAAAATCTGATAATTGGTCCATCATGACAGCCACTAGAATGCCCATATAAATCCAGGAGGAATGGGTTTGACTTCACTTTTGTCAACATTTGGTTCTGCACCACTTGGGGTTCTCTTATACTTCTTTTTCCTAGTTGATGACAACTATTGGTTGATTTACTACCTAAAAATTGATCAGAGCTTTTGAGAATGCCATTAGGTTATTTCTGTTGTCATATATTTCATTAACAAGCAAAATTACTACTCTCTGCAGATTGACCTAAACCGGGCCAAGAACTGTGAAATTATGCTCACAAAAGTTAAGATGCCCCTTTCTGATATGATGGTAAGCTAACATCAATGCAAATATTCCTATGCCATTACAGTTCTTGTGCAATAAAAGCATTGCTTAGAAGTGGTTATGATTTATGATACCTTTATACCTTGTAAAGAAGGGAATACAGATATAGGTAATGCTTAATTTTGTCCTCACTGGAGAATTAACAACTATGTTTTGTATGTATTGGAACTTATCAGCTGATGTGTACAGTTTTGCAAGATCATTGATATGTTATCCATCTAATGGTAAAATTTTTAGTATATTGCTAAAGTATTGCATGGGTTCTTTATGTATGCTGATATATGTACCACGCTATATTATAATCATCATTGTATATCACAATATATTAACAAAATTCATTAATAGATTATTCTTTTAACTACTAGTTTTGCTCTATTTGAAAACTTATGCATTCTTTTATGGTGAAAATGCTACCATCCTATATGAAGTAGAGGGTGTCTCAGTGGGCAACCATAGTCCTGGATAGTGACTTTGATTAAAAATGCATTCTCTAGCCCTATCACATTTCTCTCTAGGTCTACTAGATAGTTACTTTCACTTCTTGTTATTCTTACCTTAATCTTTAGGTTCAAGTGTTGGTATAGTTGAGACTGAAACAAATTGCAGATACCCTATACTCAATGGCAGTGGGATCTAAGGTTGTTGTTTGGTTTGAAGGAAAAGGTAGGGAGAGGTAGGGAAACCTATATCCTTACCTTTTCCTTCAAACCAAATACAGCCTAAGAGCTAGGTAATGCTTTCTGATAGTACATTAGAATGTGCTGTGTTAGGGTTTGCCAAGGTCTCAAAGAGCCAAAATCTTTTGAAGGTGAAATCTCAACTAGGTAGGAATTGTATGAGGATAAAAGAAAGTTTTAGCAGCTATAGGGTTAGCATTTGATGGTATATTTAAGGTACATTGTAAAAGCTATTCATTCAAGGTTCATCACAAGTGGAGACTGGTTAGGTTATGAAAAGTCTTGGGGTCTAACTACAATAATCACAGATTTGCCCCAACTCCCAAGAGGGTAAAAAACTTCAAAATAAGGAAAATAGGTGTAGGATAGGAGACTTTTGATGAATTTTATAGGTAGTAGAGGTTTGGGATGTCTTTCATAAGAGGATGCAAATTCTACTTTGTTAATAAAACCTTGGTGCTATGAAATCTAGGGTTCTAGGTGGAATTTTGAGATGAGATTTGGAAGGATAAAAATTTTAAAAGACCTACATGGGGCACCTGAGTATGGAAGCAATTGGAGATGGTTTAGCATAGAAAGATGAAAACAGCTGGAATTGGAAAACTTTAAGTTTTGATGAAAAATAACTGAAAGATCACTTAGATCAGTTCCAGCCATTCGAGAATGTTAAATGAATATCTTTTGGTGAAGAACTTATCTCTGTTGATGGTTGTAATGGCTGCTTGCAAAATTAAAGAAAAGATAGAGAGAGAAAGAAGAGAGAAAACTTGGAATCACTTAATAGGGTACCTAAAATCACTCTAGGGTTAGAACCACTCACTACAAGCATGATATGCAGAAAAACCGTTCCAATATCAACCACCACGTTTTTTTACTCTAGAGTCTAGACAAATATATAGATACCATGGGGGTTGTGAATCCTACTAGAACTAGGAGAGACAAAAGTTTTATCATTGCCACTATCATAAGGAAACTACTCCTAACTACTTATCCAGTAACTTGAAACTTTAAACACAAACTAACTATCAATAGGAAAATCAAATTCCCAAGGCCATAGATAGCATCTAATATTACCAAAATACCCCTGACACCTAAGCATACAAAAATACAGGAAATTTTAGAAATTTCTGGTTTTGGCTTCTTGACTTATGCATCACCATGTCAGACATTTGTTGGATTCTGGCACCATAGTGACACTTCCATGTATGGTTTTCCTCTTTATTCATGCTTATTTTATATAAATGAACATTTAACATACATATAGAATCCCTATTTTTCTTATAGAATGTTCCTAGGTATATATGTTACAAGATGAAGGGGCTAGAAGAGCTGGGAGCAGACCAAAAAGGGCATGGGTTGGAGTAGCGAGAAATGATGCATGGGCCCATAGTTTAAGTTTACCAAAGGATATGGCACTGGCTGGAATGGAATGATGGATCAGGAAACAAGGCTTAGATGATGACGATAAATGTTTCTAGCTATACGGTGATAAAATTCACAAGATGCTTATTTTATTTAATAGTAAATACTGATTCTGGATGTGCCCCATGTCCATTATTTCCGTCTTGCCATGACAGACTTCCAGACAGGTGGACATGCATTAGATCCCTACTCCCCTTCCCAAGTCTAGGCAATGCTGAATGCAGGTATTTAATCACAAGGAATAAGTGTAATTAGGAGTGAGCAAATGGGTCAGTTCTACCTGGAACCAAATGGAACTGACCTTGAACCAACCCTACTCAATATGTTACCAGGTAGAGTCCAGTTCCAAATTCTCGAAACCAACCCTCACCCAAGCTGGCTTCAGAGTCTGGGGGGTTTACCCTACTCAAACTGACCTGGAGAACCAGCCTTGGAACCAAACTTGCCTTTAAGTAAATCTGAAATACTTTGAGGACGTGAAGGTTTGAACCCAAGTGCTAAGGTCACAAAGGTCATGGTCTCACTTAACCATTCAGCCACTTCAGTGAATTGATAAATTTTCTTCAATTTAATATTTGAATGTGTATGATAAGTAATGTAAAAGGTAGTGTTTACAAAATTTAAATCATAATGATAAGTTTAACTATGTATTAATATATAATGTGATAATCTATGGATTAAATTACTCAATTTAATTAATAAAGGTAATGTAAGTTTTTTAATCATATATTAGCGTTATTGAAAATTATGTTTAATCATTTTATAATTGCGATATTTCCATGGGTACACCCCGGAAACGACCCCTACAGGGAAGGTTTCAGTTCTGCCTTGAAACCAAACTGAACTAACCCATGCTCACCTCTGAGTGTAATACAAACCAAACCAGGCAGTGATCTAGATCTGCAGCATCATCTCCTGTGTCTTGGAGACCTCTTTGAATGTGGGTTTGAGAGCCTGCTGTGAAGGATAAAACCCTTTCACATGTAAAACACATATCAACATGCATATAAGAATAAAAGGACAAAACACCTAGTCATACTTGTTGAAGTTGGCTTTGTTGGCTGACCACTTATTTTTACAGAGTGCAGCATTAGCGTTGGATGGTTCTATTTTAGATGTTGATCAGGTGGAAAATCTCATAAAGTTTTGTCCAACAAAAGAGGAGATGGGACTTCTGAAGGTGAAAATGATCAATCAATTATTATTCACTTCACAGCATCTTTTTCACCTTTTATCATAACTGTTTGCAATTATGTTGTGTCTACATATTCTTCATTTTTTTCAGGGATACAGTGGTGACAAGGAAAACCTAGGGAAGTGTGAACAGGTCTGTATAGCTACTTTCTTGGCTAAGTTTTGTTGTGTCTTTGTAAATGATGCGTTGCTTGTATGATTCCTAATGGTTTGATTCAGTTGTACGAACAATGAAAGTATTTTCTTGAGCAAAAAAAGCTTCATTACCACTATATATGGATTTTAGGAAGACGATGATTCACTAGTATTGTTGTGAACTAATTGGATAATTTCGAAGTTTCATTATCATTATGATTTGCTTCCAAGACATGGTGTAGTCTTTCTGCAATGCACATGAGCATTTTACATGAAAGGATGAAGCATTTTACATAAGGTGCATGGAGGGCAAGGTGTACTTTTATTTCTTCTTCCTGTTTAATGCATGCTTTTATTTTGTCAATAAACAAGGGGGAAGAAAAAGGTGTATCCAGGATAAGATTGTTAAAAATGCTGATTCATGTTATAGATTTACCTATTTAGTTATGACCTTGGTGTGCTACAACAAGAAGTCAAGAACATAAAAGAATGACTTGATTTTGAAGATAAAGTGATAACTGAAGATTCGGTGGCTAAGAAGGTGGTTGGTATGGTGTACACTTTGGTTGTTGATACTAAACTTTTAGGGGAGTTTCATATTTGGGCTTTTTTTGTAGGTAATCAAAAAGATTTTATTAAGGTATTGCAGAAACTACTAATACAATGAGCTTCCCATGAAGAGGCGCGAGGTGCAGCCTCAATAACAGTAGCAAATTACAATTGGAACCCAAAAAGATGATCCCTATGCACCCCTTGCTTATCTAGACAGTCAGCTAGCCAATTAGCTAATCTCCTTTCCCACTGAATTCTTACTGTCATATTGGAAGTCATCCATTTAAACCTCTTCATGGCATCCCCGTAGAACCAAACAACAGTTTCCGGATTCCTTAGCCACCCAACTATCAGCTCTGAATCCCCCTCAATTATGTACTGATGTTCAACTCTCTAGAAAAGTGTACCCCCTGCAGGACAGCTTGAAACTCAGCTCGGATAGAGTCCCCCTCATCAATAGAACCTGAGAAAAGAGCAAATATACTGCCACTTGTATCTCTGAAAACACCCCTATTCCCGAGGGCCCTGGAATCCCCAAACTGCTACTATCAAAGTTGAGCTTAATGAAGCTTTCTTCAGGAGGTACTCAAGCTACAATAGGCTTTTCCTTTATCTCCGGACTTCTTGCTACAACTCCCCAATTTCTCCAAATATCATCAAAGGAAGAAAGGGAAAAGGTCTCCAGAGTTTTAGCCCAATGTATAGCCCTATTTACAATGCTCTCCCAAATAGCCTCCTCATTCCTTTCGTTGTCATTAAAAATTCTAGTATTTCTCTCCTCCCGAAGTGTCCACACCAAAGCAGCCTAGCACATTTCAATAGGGTCATTACCTCTTCTCTTAGACCATTTGAAGGTTGAAGGGTCGAATAGACTACTGATCTGCAAAGGCAAAGACCACCTGCATCCAAATAGAGCAAATAACCTTTCCCATAACCCTGCAACAACAGGGCAAGAGATTAGCCAGATGAAAGCAACTCTCAGTATTAGCTTTGCACAAAACCCACCAACTCAGGGAGATACAAAGGAACAATCTTTTTTTTGCAGGTTCTCCAAAGTGTTTAGCTTTCCATGAAAGGCTTCCCAACAAAGGGTTCCAACCTGAGGTGGAATAGGCTTAGATCACACCTCTTCAATATTCTTTTCATAAACATATGACTTTAATTCAAGGTGTAAAATCCCATTGTACACACCTTATCATACAGGGGGTTTCTGTTTCTTTTGTCAGTGAAATACATCATCATCATCTAAGCCTTATCCCAACTCTATGGGATCGATTACATGAATCCTATTTCACCATTCCATTCTGTTCAGTGCCATATTCATCATTAAATTAAGGGCACTTGAATCATTTCTTGTTAGTTCCACCCAAGTCCTTTTTGGTCTGCCTCCAACTCTTCTAGCCCCTTCAACTTGTAACTGTCACATTTTTATGTCAATGAAATACAGCACTCAAAAAAAAAAAATAGTGGCTTAATTTTGGAATTCATGAATATCTATCCAATTATCTAATTGAGAATAAGATCCTATTAATCCAACGTGATTTGCAAGATTATGGTTTTGGTGAAAAATGATGTGGATTGTAGGCTGTTTGAAGACTTGTCATTATTTGTAGGATTTCTTCCCAGAGTAGAGGCGCTTGAGGCAAAGAGATCCCCCACTCTACGCCATTTCATCTTTATCCTAATTGCTGATATTTTTGGTTGAATGCAGATATTTCTGGCTAACTCAAAGCTGGAAAATTGATAGGAATGAGACTAGAGTTCTACATCTTCAATTTGCTGATGACATTATGTTATTTTGCAAAGACACAAGGGAGGTGGGCTGAGGAGAATGTTTTGAGAAAATGAGTTGTATAGCAAGAATTAACATGGGAGAGGAAGTAGGGGTGTAAGTCAGGCCGGGTTAGGTCATATTGAGCTCAACCCTAACTCAAGCCGAGTTGTCGAACTCCCAACTTGATTTTTTGGGGTTGGGTTTTGGTTGTTCCACTTTCTTCATTTCATTGCTGAAATGTTCTTATTTTCAAGATTTAAGAATCAGGGGATTAGTTTCACCAATTTTAGCATTATTATATGCACAAGAACAAAGTTATGGTGCTTTAGGGTTACCATAATTATATCATACTAAAAAAGTTTTGCATTTAAACTTATAGTTGTTGATACATATAAATAAATGTATGAATGCATGGTTGCATTCATGATACATATTTATATAACATTAAACATACAAATATGAAGGCATGTTGAGTCTGGGTTAGGTTCAGGTTAACCCAACCCAAGTGCACTCCTAGGAGGAAAAGATAGGGAGAAATATATGTGTCTATATTAGGGTGCATGGTGAACCATTAGCCTATTTGATATTTAGGTCTGCATTTTGGCCTATGAGAATAGAAACCACCTTCTATCTCAAAATTTGTTACAAATCAAATCTAATAAGCCTTGATAGCGGTGTTGCATGGACTATCCTAAATGGACAAAGTGTCCATGTTGGACATACGTTGGCCACTGACACTCCATGGATTCTTGAGGGACACTTCCATGTTACATTTTTCATTCTTTGGTTGTTTATTGGATGTAATTGAACAGTTGATGTAAATATTAACTGTTATTTTTTCCTACAAAATGTTATTAAGTAACAAAAGTAAGCTTATAAAAACTTTTTTCTATAGAACTATAATGTTAAAGTTCAACAAAATATGGAGTATTATAATATTTAGTACTTGTCCCTAGACATTTCTGTGAGTCCTTGTTTTTTCATCTTGCTAAGTCATATTCCCAAACATGCATTGGATTATGATTCTCATGCCTGTTTCCATGCAAAACTGCTTGACAGCTATCGTTGAGTCCTTTAGAAACTACTGTCTCAAAACCACAATATGGATTTTTTTGTGGGTTAATCCCACAATATGCCATTCACTTTATAAAAAAATCACCAAAAAAAATAACAGAGAGAGAGAGAGAGAGAGATGGATTTATCTTTTATCTAATTTTAGTATGTGTTTTTTAATATAATTTCATCTCTCTCTCTCTCTCTCTCAATATATGTGTGTATTTGTTTGCCTGCATATTTTTGTAATGTAATTCATTTATGCTAGTAAGCAATTTGTTGGTTGCTCATTGAAGTATTTCTATTTAACTTTTGATGCTTTAGTTCTTTCTGGAGCTAATGAAAGTGCCACGGGTGGAATCTAAACTAAGAGTGTTCTCTTTCAAGATTCAATTTCCTTCTCAGGTTTGGTCGTACTTTTGTTGTTCATTTGTTTTTATTAAAATAATGTAAAATAGCATACATTAGTACATGTCTTGCTGTCTGAATCTTACCTCATTTGCAGATTGCAGATTTTAGAATGAGTTTAAACACTGTAATCTCTGCATGCGAAGAGGTATTTTTTTTATGGTATTAAGGCCTTTTGATGTGTTTCATTATTAATTTTTACCTTGGTACTCAATTTTTATATTAATGATTAAACAGGTCCGGAATTCCATAAAATTGAAGGAAATTATGAAAAAAATACTTCATCTGGGGAATACACTGAACCAGGGAACAGCAAGGGGTAAGCAACTTGATCAATATTCTGAAACTTTCTTCAAATTTAATTTATTAGTGGAGGAACTGGAGATTTATCCTATTTTTATATAATCTATTGGTTTGAAGGAGAGTCCATTAATTTGATTGAACAGTAAAATCTTGGGCAGACAAGTGTAAAAACATAGATATGATTCTAACAATGAGCATCTTGTGCAAACAATATGCCTGGGGTTAGGTCTGTATTAAGTTTACTCCTCCCAAGATCCTGGATTGCAGGGATCAGCATTGGGTAGTGGTCTTTTTTTAGGGGGGGTGGGTGTTTGAAGGGGCTTATATGTTTCTTGTGCCTAGATTTTGTGATAAACAAAAGATACTTCCTCATCGGAAAATGAAAAGAAATATATAGTATTTGTGAAATTGGGTCTTCAAATTACCTAGCTTCTTTGATCATGAAAAATTTTGCATGTATAGCCATCTGTCCAATTAATGAGTTAGTGAAAACACAGAAAAAGTGGAATTGATAGGATTATTAGCAACTGTTCAGTTTTATTAATTTGTTAAAAAATATGGAGTATGTAAAAAGAGAATGTGCCTAACCATGCTCTTGGTTTAGGCCAATACTTTTGGCCCAGCCATAGACCCCTTCGTTTACATGTATTCATTTCATCACCTAGATTTGTAAGAATGTTGCTTCTAAGAATTACTATGCTCTAGTTGAATCTCCTTGTCCAATAGGTCGTGAATATACCACCATGATGTTTCCAAGATGGCCCCTAAAAACACCATAAATGCCCACTTATCAAAATTGGGTTGTGCCCTACTCAGTACTCTACGACTTCTATTAAGTTTATCGTTATTGTTAAAATAGTTACTCAAAATTGGGGGTGCAACTTGGGTAGGCCCAACCCAAGCCCGGACTGACCCAGCCCACATTTTTGCATGGGTTGGGCTTGGATTTTCAGTCCTCATACTGGGCCTGGGCCCAAAAACCTTGGCTTTTCCATTTTTTGGGTTAGGCTTGGGCCTAGCTTCTAAGTAGCCCAAGCCTGGCCTAACTACACACATGCATACATACATATATTGATACAACACACATCCATACACATGCATTCATGCTTATATGCAAAAACATACAAAGGCAACATTTGTTTGTGGTGTAAATACTGGACCGATGTTGTATTACACTCTGGTCCGGTTTTGTAGCTGTTTGGATGAAGTGTAAATCACCACCGAAAATTGATGTAAAGCTCCATGCAGATTGAGTTTTACATCGATAGTCGAAAGGAAATATACAATGATTAAAATGAAGTAAAACTCTCCCCTTCTCTTGATCAAAGTAAAACTCTTCATTTTTTTGTCGTTTTATATGATTTTTTTGATCAATAACAACTTCATAAATTTCATTGAAATATGATAGGAATAGTTACATCAAGGAAGACAAACACTCTTGTCTTCCAAAGACAGCTTAAGTCCTCAAAGAAAGAAAGGAAAAAAGAAGTAAAATGATTACAACTTAGCCCAAAACATTACATCCCTTTCAGTCCCCTGTTTAGCTAGCTCATTAGATATAGAGTTAGCTGATCTATTAACCCAACTCAATCTGATTTCCATTTCCCACACCAGCCACTTGAACTTTCTTTTCTCATTGAACTTTCCATAGTCCACAATTGTCTTTCCTCAGCCACCCTATTACCACCTCTGAATCCCCTTCAATTATGAGTTTTCTGATGTCCATTTCCTGTTATGGTCACACCATCCGGCAGCGCACTGCGGCGCAGTCATAGGCAGCAGCAGGCACCGCAGGCCGCACAGCAGCAGGCACCGCCCGGCACCGCACGGCAGCGGCACCATGGCGCGCAGCACGCACCGCCAGGCAGCAGCGCGCACCGCATGCACTGCACGCCAGCACGCACCACG